AGAAGGAATCACTGTGTAGTCGCCGTGTTGTTTGGTTCTTTATTTGCAGCTGCTCATGTGGTATTCAGGCTGAACCAAACTCATATTACATTAAACTCCTAAATTACGTAAAATTTTTAACCTGGGACGGCAACAACTTCACAGACTTAACTCAATTTTCAATTTTCTACCTCTTGTACTACGGCATCATTCATTTAACAGAAGCTTACCCCTTAAGGGACACTTTTCAAATAGAGGCAGTCTAGACACGAACTCCTTATAACATTTACAGAGACCCAACAGTAACCACCATGAGCAAGAATTGCGGACGGGGCAAGGGAAAAACTGCCTTTAAGACAACTGATGGGGTCAGCTTAAGTCCTTAATGAATGTCTCCTTTGTTTATCCAGGCACCAGTCATGAATACCAACCAGATGTCTTTTTGTTTCTTTGCCACCAACGCAAACAGTAATAATAATATAGTTAATAACTTGGGCGGAGGTGGGGAGTTATCCGTTGTAGTCATCGTTCTTGCGTGACCACAAATAGACACATTGATCACAATAGTTCCTATAGCTTTAAAGTGTATCATACCAACAATATTTGTGTTTTTTTGTGAATTTGTCTAAACCACAGAAGTTGGATTAGTAAGAGCGCAGGGTCTTTGTGTAAGAAACTGACAGACGCCTCGTTAATGGCTGCCTGTATCTGCTTGGTGTGATTTAGCTCAGCTGCAAAACCAACATAAAAACGCTGTATTGCATTTCCTGATTTTAGTTTTAATTGCCACCAAAGGGGAGAGCTGCATCTTATTTGCTGAGACGTGTGCAACTAGTTTGTGGTTTGTTATAATGGAAGCAATTAGTCTGTCACAGGTATAGTCACACTGGAGTCCCTCCGTGTGTGTTGAGCTGTTGTCTAAGTAACAGCTCAAGCAGTCTCACTCCAGCCAACTTCGCTTTTTGACAGGAAGACAGACAGCAGCTGTGAGCTGACAATCATCAACACCTTGTCCACCTTCCCTGAGGCACTTATCAAGTGTAAACAACACACACCACACACACACACCACCACACCAAACCCACACACACACACACTTTCCATTACCTGCCCCGATCGTTAAGCGCAAACACCAGTAAGAAGCCTTCTCCTGAGCGCATATACTGCTCCCTCATTGCCCCGAACTCCTCTTGACCTGCTGTATCCAAGACTGACAAACACACACGCACACAGCAATAAAACAACCTGCGATGACCAACCTTTAACAGACAAAGATAGAGCTACTGGAATGAAACAACAAAACCAACATTTCCTTTATAAGGAGTGGTGCTTTCCATCTAATATAATATCCAGTTATGTTTAGGTACAGAATACAGTATGTTATAGGTGTTTGAGTTTAGGTGTAACATACAAAATATTTATGCATGAAAAATAGCTACATTAGGTGTAAGATCAACAATAGTTGCATTATTTGTGTTAAACCATGGATGGTAATGGATGTGTTGAAGCATCATCAGGGTTCTAGATCAGTGGTTCGCAACCAGGGGTTGCCAAACCTTCATGGGGGGGAAAGGTGACATGCAGCTGACATCTGAAACATGGTCTAACCTAATTATTACATTATGCTAAATAATTAATGACCTTATTAACATGAACACTGCTGACCTACTGGTTTGCATGATGTTTGCGGTAAGCATAAAAACAGCCGTACCTTGTTAAACAGCAAGTGTTGTTTAACAACCTTCTGGGTTTTTCCAATAATTGCCAGGGAATTAACATTCAGAAACACCAACGCTTAGCTGTGTGACTCAAATGGATGGATGTTCCTGTTGATGACTCTGCTGGAGCCAGTGAGTGAGAGTCATGATATGCTAGTCCAACCCTTTACTCCACCCTTCGCAATCACTCCAACATCTGTGTACATACCACTCTAACACATACAGTATAAAATATTATGTAATAAAAATTATATGTGGTTTTACAGATAAGAACCTCCTACTACTTCTGAAGGAGAACCTTAAGTTCACCCAACTGTATCATTTGGACTACAGTCATATCTGTGATGGGCAGTGCTGAAAGAAGAACACAGAACATTTTGAAAATGGAGTAAAATGCGGTAAACAAATGTGCAACCATATAAAGAGCAGCCAGACCAAGTCACATAAACAGCAGTTTTGCAGATTTAATCTGTATACATCTGATGATTCACATATTACTGTGTGGTGAAACAGCAGTGTGACCCAAGACACTACAGCCTGGCTTGATGCAGCAATACTGGCAGAGTACAAGTCCTAACAAGGGAATGAAACATCCAGAGAGCAAACACGCTGCCTGTGTCATATCACATCACAGTGCAACACACCCTCTGCTTTCAAACAAAGCCTCACACACCCTGAAATCTCCCTAACAACAGTGTGAACTATGAATTCATGTCCAGTGGGATGGATTCTTACTGTCCAGCCGGGTCTCCTTTCCATCCACAGTACAGATCTTGGTGTAGGAGTCTTCAATGGTGGGGTCGTAGTCTGACACAAAGTAGGACTGTGGGAAACACTCAAGGTTAATAGCGAGACACAGCTGTGGGCACAGCACATTACATCTCTTAAATACAGTGATTTGTTTTACAATAGACCTAGAGTGGGTCGTCCACTAATCGGAAGGTTGTTAGTTCGATCCCCGGCTCCTCCTGCCACATGTCGAAGTATCACTGAGCAAGATACTGAACACCAAATTGCTCCTGATGCTGTGCATCAGTGTGTGAATGTGTGTGAATGTGTTAGTTTCTGCTCAGTAGAAAGGATCTGCTACACTAAATGGAACAGAACCTTAATTAGTATCATTGGTAACACCTGGGTGTACCCTACTATTTCATGTCAAAATGGCTGCTGTGAAAAATATCTATACCGTAAACAAATATCTGGCTTCATCTTAAAGTCTGTTGTGTGGCCATTTATTGCTAATGCTTAAATATGGCTAGAAAATCCACAGGGCAAATGCGAATATTCCGATCACTAATACTCCTGTAAGCAGGGCAACAAAAGTAAATGAACTCGGTACTGGCATTAAAGGTCCAGTGTGTAACTCATTGACTGATACGATGGATCTGAGAATAGATGAGTAAATAGATGAGTACCTTCAAAGAGGTAGATAAACTGAGTTTATCTAGGCAGGCGACCACCTAAATATAGCCTGACATGAAGGAAAACTGTGTGATATTCTTAAAATGAAAGTGCAAATTTATGGGAACTCATCAGAACTGTTACTGTGTAGTTACAACCATGTTACATAATGAAATAAAACCAGACATGATGTTCACTGTGGTGGACTACCGACTGCATGTTTTTTTTATAATGTAAGGAAAAATACATTTAAACATCTATCATACTCACTGATGTGTGGGAAATTGTACAGAGGTTTTGGAGAAAGATGGTTGATTGTTGAGTCCCATTCCCAGGTCATTGAACACCGAAATTTAGGGTTGGCCCTAAACTATGGGAAGAGATGTTTTGATACCATTTTTTCCTTCCTGATACTGAGTCCAATACTTGAACTTTGCATATCATTCAATACCAAGCACCATTCCAAGACCTGTGTGTTAAAAATCGATCCCAGTAGGGTCCCATTTCTGGTAGGGTTGCACAATTAATAAAAATATAATTGATATCAATTCTTTATAAAGGTAAAAAGGTGTTAAAAACATTATAATAAAGTACTGTAGTGCTGGATATGCAGATGCACTGGAAACTGTAAACATTTTTGTTTGGTACCATCCCAATTACATACATTACATTTCACATCATAATGATTTTAATAGTTTTTCAGTGAAAATAAAATTTGTGCTGCAAACATTATCATTCCCACAATCATATTGTACTACTGCTTTCTAGGCAGTTCTTTATACTGATATCGCTATCAGAACAACTCTTGTTATTGGACGACATGGGAATAAGACTCAACAATCAACTTACCGCACAGGGATTGGTCAAAGTCTCCTGTCACAGCCTAGATTTTCAGAACAGACAGATTGTCACTGCTGCACCCTTTGTACAGGATGTATTAGCTGTATCTAATGGCGTTATAAATGTCCTTACAATACTTTATAGCTTTGGTTGCCAGGTTGTGAAAAATCTGGAGTTTGTCTGGACAAATGTACCGTTTGGCCACTTACCGTGTGGAAAAGCTGCAGAGAATCTGGACCAAAATCTATTTATGATTAAGTTTCTCACATGTTGACATCTTGTTATTTTGATGTATTGTTCTAACTTACAATGCGATTTAATATTTATGGCTCAAGAAAAAGTGAGACAGCTGTGACACTTTTATTGATGACTCACAAGTTAGAGAGATTGTTCATAATCTGGTAGTTTTGTTCCCATGAATAGCCAGCTTCTGATCCATAAAGAATTAGTGAGTGATGTATAAAGGTGCAGTAGGTAACGTCTATCAAAATAACTTTTTGTCATATTTGCTAAAGCTGTCACTAGATCCTGATGGGAGTAGTTGACAAAGATAATCTGTGAAAAAATGAGGTTCCTCTGGCTCCTCCTAGCACCCCTAACATTATGTCCAAAAATCCACCGGGCCGCTTTGGGTAGGTGACTTTGAAGCTTTGACGACCAGGGAATTAGACTCACCTGGGGATTTAAATGAGAATCTATCTTTTAGTACCAAGTTGATACCAACATTCTGAAAACGTGACGGTACTTGTTTTTCCACAGTATCGAAGGCACCTTCTGACGTTATTAAAGTTATTTTCATAAGTTACCAACTGCAGCTTTAACCAATAATAAAGTCAGAATGTAATAGCAATAATACATGTACCAGAGTATGCCATGTACAGTAGGCTGTGTCTCTAATAAGTATACAGTTGGTAAACGTAAAGAGTCCGTACCTGGATGAATTGGATGGTCAGGGCGCTCTTCCCCACCCCTCCTCCTCCCACCACCACCAGTTTGAATCTTTCCTCTTCTCCGCTCATACTGTATTGTAACTCGGATCAAAAAGCTTCAAGGGCCTCAACCAGAGACCCACTGTTCACAAGGAGCTAACCCAAGGTCCAAAGACACGATCCAGAAGCGAAGAGCTCGAGTAAAGCCGCCTGTTAATGTTGGCAGAAGACACCAGCATGGACGATTTTATCAAACTGAAACTTATTCACATGAAGCTCATTTTCTCCAACGAGCTTTTCAACACAGCACCGGAGTTCCACCGTCCATCCGCTGAAACACTAACCGGCAGAATAACACCGTGTTCTGGGTTTAAAGCGGACTCTGTCGTTCGCTTCTTATCTCTTCTTTCGGCTCTTTTCTCCGCGGCCTCCGGGCTGCTTCTGAGGGCGGAACTGCTTCCTCTTTTCTCTTTCCTCAAGAAAGCAACGCTTATACACATTCACTGACACACAGAGGTATTCACACAACAACTAGGCGTTATGTCGGTGGCACACACCAACACTCAGAAAATATATGACATGGCGAAGCGCTGTACACACTAAAGCTTTCTACTCATTAAAGCTGAAAACTGACCAGAACAAATTCCACTTCCATGTGTCACGTTCCTTATTTGGTCATTTGGAGTATCCGTGACATCATTTAAACCTACTGGCTCGCGCGGAGTGTAAACCCGGCTGCGAAGTAGTTATGTTTCAGAATAATATCAGATAGCTTCAACCGGAATAAGAATGTAACTTAACAACGCTGGCTAATAAGACAACTTCTTAATAGTAAACCTTTTATTCTATCTTTAATCCCTCTACAGCGCCACGCCATTTTTTGAATCCAAATGCTTTGTACTTTGGAATTCTGCGCCCTGAGGCAACACATAGCTCACCTCTCCATCCGGACACGTGTGAGAAAGTTCCAATCCGACAGATGTAGTTAACCTGTTGTCCACAATGAAGCAGTCTATATCAGTGCTTTCCAACCTTTTTTCGAGACTAATTATGACAATGACCCAAACAATGAACACAATAACTGCAGCGACTTTGAGCGTATATTTCCTTTGACTATTGATCAGAGATGAGTTTTCCTGGTATGTTTTAGTAACTTTATATACAGTTCAAACAAATTCAGCATTTTCTTCTCCCTGACACTTCACCCATGTTCTTTATTAGCTCTTTGCTTGTTTTAACTACTTTTCTAATGCAGGACAATGCTGTTTATCAGAGATTAAAGGCATTGTGCAGCTTCTGTTCACCTCTCCACAGTTTTCTTTTTACTGTATATCAAAAATAATAATCTAAACTTTAAAAAGTACATTTAGTTTACTTCAAAGAAATGACCAAAATATTGAGATATAGGCCAACTACAGTGTATATTATTTAAGTTGTCCTAAAAATCAAGAATGCCTCGTGACCCCAGTGAAGCTTTATTAACCCTTAGTGGGGGTCCCGACCCCCAGGTTGGGAACTACTGCTCTCGGGTGCCCTTCCAGTGGAGAAAAAACGTAATGAACTGCCCTCCAAGTTGCCCTGCGAGTAGAGAAAATGTAAAAAGTGTCCTCTAGGGTGCTCTGGCACCCTTCCAGTGGAAAATATGTGAAAATGTGCCCTTCAGGGTGTGCCCTCTGGCCTGCTTATCCTAACCCTGGCTAAACTGTTATACCATAAATACATCAACTTTCTGTGCACTGGTGCCGTTTTTTATTTTTTTCACCCCTGCACCTCAAACAGTCCACTACTTATCATTACTGAATACACAATGAAATTCACTTACAGATTTTCATGCTTTGTGACTGATGAAGTCCATAAAATGTTTAACGATTGTGTATTCTTATGGTTGATAATAAAACTATAATAATAATAATAATAATAATATAAAAATATAATAGTGTTAGCAGATATTTTTATTTAATTTTATGGTAAATGGACCTGTACTTGTATAGCGCCTTTAGTGCTTTTACACTACGTGCCACA